GAGTATTCTTCTGAAAGGAGCTGAGGTAATAAATTGTGTGAGGAGAGAGAGGTTTCCCAACAACCATGTCAGTCATGATAACAGTCTCTCTGCTCCACCCTCTCCTAATCTGTCACATGGAAAGACAATGCTACTAGTAAAGTCCAAATCCTCTTAAATCCCAACATTAGATTGTAAAATCAAATTGAAGTCATCAAATTAAGGCACAGGGTGCATGCAGAGCTGTAGAACATTACATTTCCTACCACTCTGTTTGGCTAGACTGTACCGTGCCATGGATGATTTACAAACAACAATCTCATCAGGTGTAAATGGAGCAACACCATGTAGCTGATAAGGTCTGTACCCTAAAATTATTTTATAAATCCTGTGCCTGATTTTACTGTAACATGACAACATATTCTGTAGTAGCCATGCAAAAAATCTAAGATCTGATTTTATATTCCAAACATATTTCAAAAGGATGGTGGAGTTTCTGCCCTATGAATAATCTATTGCAGAAGGAAACATCTGTTTCCTTAATCTGCTTTATATTTCTTTCCCATGGGGCAATGAATATGAATACAGAGGAGACCACAAACACAGAAGTTTCACTCAGAAAAGCTGAGTTCTAAAAGTGCTATACATTACTTCTGATGATTTATGTGAGGGACATGGTAGTCGTAACTCATAACAGAACCCAAAATGTTGTGAGAAGTATTGGAGGTGCAGGGGGTAGTCGACTCTGCTCTCTCACTCCACACTATGGCCACACTAGGAAGAACTGATTTTGGAAACTCCTGAGTAAGGCAGCTGGCATGGGAGACGGCATTGTAAATAAGTGTGCTGTTTTCACAGAGACTTCTCTTTGGTTGCATAAGCAGTCGAGGGCTTTTGGATGTGCCAACTCATCCTGTCAGCTACTTGTTGCTGAATGGAGGGGCTAGTAATCACCCCCAGAACAGGTGCACAAACAGAAATCAACCTAATATTTTATTCTGTATGCTTTGTAGTGCCCTCCCAGCACAGTACTGCTTTCCAGTAGGCACTCTGCCTTCATGCATAATAACATTTAACAATTAAATCTAGGTCAAGAGTTGAAACCACAGTGAGCTAATTGTCTACGTAACTGTAACATTTCTTGCAACATGAAGATAAACAAAACCAGAAAAACAGATATTTTGAAACACTTGAGGAAATTCTTCTGAGGTATTTCATTGATCTTTGAAAAGGAATATCAAAAATGGGGGGAGAAATGTGATATGTGCATTTGCACAATTCTCCTCCCTAGAACCCCATGTGGTTCTCTTGTCAAATTATGCAACACCTTCTAAAATCTTTGCATATTTAAAAAAATATGAAGTAATCTGCTTTGTAACTCTTTCTGGCTAAATGCACTGGCACTACATTTCAGAGAACTGCTCTACAACCTTATCAGGCATTCGAGAGTGCTTTCTGGAGCAGAAGGTAAAAAAAACCCAAAAGTTACAGCCTATTTACATTCCTGACCAATATATTCTAAGTTCACCGTCGTGGATCAATATTACAGTTTAATTATATCACATTCTGCATCAGGCTCATCTCTAAGATGCACTGAAAATACTAAAAGGAGAGGGAGGCAATTAATGCAGGGAAAAAAAGAAGCAACAAACCTTAAATAACACCATTCCACTTTCTATCACTTTACTAAAATAAGCTTTTTGGCAGATGTTAATATTCTGAGCTGACTGGCAGCCTGCAATGTGTTTGTGGGAATCAGGTAGCACAAATGGGTGGCTTGGAGAGAACACAAAGCCTCCTGTGGGCCTGTTTAACATTTTTCTCATGTCCCAGGTGTCCACAATGGGCCAGAGAAGATACATGCCTTGCCCCTAGAACATAAAATCAGTACAGCAGTTTATACAGTGCAAAATCAGGTATCATACAGAGTGTGAGTGCCATGAACAGGATTCTCAATACCAACACTCAGCACTGATGCTCCTTCCACAAAATCTAATCCATGCAGAGATCATTTAAGGGTTAGGAGCAGATGAGTCACAAGCATCTAGGGGGTGACTAGCATCTAGTAGGTTCTGATTTTAACTCTCATTGGTTTTTTTCAGCATACAAAATATACACAATTTAGGCTAATTTGATTGCACACTGCTATAACAAACCCCTCTGCAGGCCTTTAAAATAAAAGTTATAGCTATTTAACTGTCTTGATTAAAGTGTAGTTGTTTGCTGAATATAACTTTTCTGTAACTTCTGACTCCTCAAAATACACATACCTCTAAGAGCTGTTGTTGCATCTCTAGTGGAAAGAGAATATATTTGTCGTATTGAGTAGTGCTGGGTTCCCTCTACAAGATCCTAGTTCTCTTTGCAGTACCCAAAGGCCTAGACCAGTTATTCAGATATAGAGCCTCAGGCTTTATATAGCACATATAGCATGCTAACTGAAATCAGGACAAATATCAAGGTAGTAATTTGAATGTGCAGCAAATACCTACAAGTAGGTTTGGACTTCCAAACTTATCTGTTTCATAGATAAGTACATCAACCACCAACAACTCTGGCTTTATTTCCTATAATAATTCCTAGAGAATTAAGTATAGATCCAGGAGTCTGCAAGCATGAGTGTTGTAAATAGTTATTATAGGGTAAACAAATATGGAAATCTGCATCATGCCTACCACGCAAAGTCAGAATGGTTTATTCTTCACTGAGAGAAGGACAAAGAGCCTCACGCTTACCATGGGGTGAGATAATTCCCAGACAAGCACTACAGTGGAGGTAACACATGGGGCAGACCTTCAATAACACTTCCATGACTTCTCTGAGCACCTATATCCTACACCAAATGTCTTGTTGTAGTAAAATATGGACCATGAGACCTAGTTCCATGTGACCTTCCACATTCTTTTCACAAAAGGCAGGATGGGCCTCTGAGAACATTTAACAGCACAAGCCAGCTGTGCCTCCTGTGTAGCGTATTTCTATGGTTTCAGTGCAGTATACAGGGAAAAGGAATCCTGCTGTTATATAGTACGTACACCTTGCTTCTTACCAACTAATTACTGGAAGCAGGTCTAAACTCATTTTACACAGAGAGTCGTTTATATTTATTGAGATTAACTTGACCTCGATTTTATTGAATTTGGACATACAACAAAACAGCAGACACCACTACTTCTCAGACACGTTTGTGAAGTGCTTTAAGCATTTACAGCACATGAAATGCTAAATGTTAAATATGATGATGTCAAGCAAAGTGCTATTGGTGCAGGAGAAAAAATGATAGCATTATAACATTCTCAGTATAGTGAAATCAGTTACTAATATAGTGACTTGCTTGTTTCTGCACAGCACAGCTAAAAGTGACTGGTAACATTCAGATGCTTCTAGCCTAGTATCTAGAGAATAAAGACAAGTTTTTCTAATTATTTCTGATTTCAAATTTTCGTCACTGTAAAGTGCTAAAAAATTATGTCATGTTAGAGGTGGCAGGTAAGCCTCTGTTACTGTTATGAGATACAAATCAGAAACGAGTTTTCCTTAGTATTCCACTGGAATGCTGTTCAGTCTTCTTCAAATTAATTTGCATTTAGGTGTGGGAATTTTCTAAGTGTGATATAATAGCTCAAAATATTACTTCCTGCATGGACAAATGTCAGGAAAATTATCCATCTGCATTCAGAACAGCACCTAAAGGTACTGTGGCCTCCAATAAGATGGTGTCTGAAGTCATTCAAGAAAACAGATGCATTCATTTCTTTCCCAGGGTGAAACAAGAAATATTGGTGACAGTATATTTATCATTCTGCTAATGCTAATTTCATCCCTGTATCCTATTATTTCTCTCAAACTGTTCAAGTGCAGCAATTTGAAACCTTAGTCAATAAACATTTATTTTCCACCCTGCTTAGTCCACCCAAAGATTACTAGGGCTTTATCAATGAATTTCCACAAGAATTTAATAAATTGTGGAAGTGTTATTATTTATTTATTTAGCATCCTGAAGAACACGGCTGTCCTGAACCTGGATCAATAATAATTCCTTAATAAAAATGCAGGTCACAAACAGAATGCCCAGTCAGAAACAACTGCCTTCTAAACTAATCTGCCTTACAGATAAGTAAATTCACTAAACAGTCTGTTAAGCAAATACTATAATGTTTACGCAGTGCAAAAAAGACAAAAGCTGAGAAGCATTCTCAAGAACAAATCAAAGCAATTATTTAAAAACCAAACCAAACTAAAACAAAACAAAACAAAGCAATCTGGTTTAAGAGCAATAATACGGTGTTTTGCGTCTTTGACCACCTATATTAAGCAATTAACAGTGCACAGTAAGCTGAATGTCAAACAAATACTGCAGATTATTTGCTGCTGTTTATGCCTGTGTAATGTAATTCTGATTCTCTGCATATGTCTTATTTCATCAGGTCACATCAAATCATGTTTTGCCAGTGTTTATTAATTCAGCCTAAGTTCAGTCACATGACATGCACTTCCACACCCTTGGTATTAAAAAATGCTTTCTGTAATTCCAATTATTTTAAAATATGAATAGATACATCCAATTACCCAGCGACTTGTGTGTCAAGTGTATTACATTTCAAACGTGTCTTCACTTAAGCTGTTCAGCAATTTTTTTAAATACTATTCCACTTTACTTTTAAACTGCAACCCACAAACTCCTGAGAAGTTGACTTCTTCTCTAAGAGAAATTACTTGAGCTAATGCTAATGGCAATTATTGAGGTGTACCATAAAATTTTTAGACAGCATCAAGTTTCTAACAAGACTGAGAAGTACTGCTGTGCCACTTGCAGACTATTTTGCAAAAAGTAAAAGCTTAACAAAGGAACATTGGCATTTTTTTTCCCCTACCTTGCTATGACTAAGTCTCATTTCAGGTGTATACATAGGCCAAAAAAAATCAAATATGAACATTATGTTTCATAAGAATCGCTACGTCTAGAAAAAACAGAGTGAAAAGAAAGTCACACACACAAAAAAAAAAGTTAGCTGGTTTACCTGATACTGTACAACACTTTTCCAGTTTTAGAAATCCTCAGCAACTTGTTGTCTGTTGTGACATCATGGAAGTTTGCTCCCTTCTCATTGGCAAAGAATAAATCGGGCTTCCAAATAGAGTCCAACATAGATGGATCCAAATCCAAGGAATCATCAGGATATTCACTGTAAGCCAGGCGTGAGTCGTTCCACTGCTGTCTCAAAAAAATGTTCACTCTGTAGTCCTACAGAAATGCCATGTAAAAAGGTTACTAAGCCACTTACCAAAACTGAAAACTCACTTTAGCTTTCTTTATGCTCTTAGACTTACTACAGCACCAGCATTACAGCAAACATTTAGGTTATCCTTTGATCATAAGAATAGCCAATTGAAAATAAAGCAGTATAGATGTTGTATTGAACCAAACAAACACAACTTCTACATTTTCCAAATCAAAATTACTTCAGTGGTAAAAGTAACATTAACTGCAACCTCCAGTATTAAGCATAACCCTCTTTCAAATGCTGAGGTTTAACTCAGAGGTACTTAGAAAGTCAAAAAGCATTGCAACTAGATGTGTACAATTTCAACAAAGATTCTATAAAATTACTAATTTAAATAAATTGCTTCCAATGTGCAAATCAATTATTTATAATGTGCTCATGAATAGTTGCTAATTCCAGTGAAGCCAGATTTGTATAGAAGAAATTAAATCAGCATTTCTTATTTACTGTTTGTATCCTCCTTTTGTTTACCATATGCTTTTCTCTGTATGTAACTTTATTCACTCCTCCCTCTCTGCATCCCATTAAAATTGTTCTAATTACACTCTTCTGGTCGGTGGTCTGCTGGTCACAACTGGGAAAGGCAGCAATTACTTAAGAGTTTCATTTAAACCCAGCATTAACACTGTGTCAAGAACCGGCTGTTAAAGGGGAGTGTGAAAAGAGCTTTTAGGGTCTAAGCTCTCTGGGATGACTAGAAAGATGCTAATGTTTATTCTTCTTATCCTGAATTTCCAAAGTTAGCAAAGGAGCTTTTTTTACCCCTCAGCTTTCCCTGCTATTATAGCATATTTACCTGAAATTACTACATTCAACTTGCTTGAGAACACTGTCTTAGAAATATATCTACTTTTCCTCTAAAAGAGAAGTATTTAATAATATTTGTGGTAGCACACTACATAAGAATGACAGCATTGTGCTTTTGACTTGGAAAATGTATGAGCTGACCTGGGTTTAGTTAGGCCTCTGAACTGCATAGTATGAAGAACTTATCATCCTTGAAATGTAAATAAATATTTTCATTCTGATTAGAGTTGCAGAAAGCAGGTTGCCCAATACGCAGACCCTGTGAACGAGACTCTCCAAGCTTCAGCATTTCCCACTCTTCATTCAGTAGGTTGATAATGAGATATACTGCTACCCTAACAGAAAATTTCTAACATCCAGCATGATGCAGCTTTTGAACCCAATGGGATGATGCTTTGCCATCTCAGTAGGAATGTGATTTTTCTTGCTTTCTTTATCATTTTCATTTTGCTGCTGGGTAGATGTGAATCAAAACAAGAGTGTTTACTAATCAGGGCAAGACAGACCTGAGAGAGGTCTCAGGAATAGCACGTTTATTAAAAATACTTACAAAAGCCTGTATCTGTTTTTCACAAGCTGCTGATGTTGGTGTTTCATACAGTTAAAGATCAAATAGCTGTTTGCAATTCTGAGCTTATAAAATATCATCACATCTTGTGAGGTTACACCAATGCTAAACATACTTTCCCTTGTTTTTTGGTCTTAGAAACTAAGAGTGTCTTGTAAGTTTATATGGGACAGTTTTAGTTATTAATCTAGGAAAGCACTTGATTGTCAATGTGCAGAAAAAAAAAGGCAGAAGTTATCATCAGCTACTACTAATGGAATAAAATCTTTGCAACTATTTCTGCCATTGCCTTTAATTTTTCTTTGAAACAAGAAGCCTATGGAAAGCAGAGGGATTTTTCCTCCCTGACATAGAAATCATAAATAAGACAAAAGAATAAATTGTTTAGAAATATCTAAAAATAAATGTGCTTTCATGAGCTTCAACAGTTGGTGATAAAGATAACAAAAACAGTCTGAAAAATCCTTTTTCATAGAAGAGCTTGCATATGATGATATATATTATACCAAAAATATAAATAATGCCACTAGGATTACACTATCCTTTTCAATATGTACCTTCATAACCATCTTAGAGCCATCACACCGAAACACTTAGAAATGCTTTCTCTCTGCAAGGTTTCTTGTTAAAAGCAAACCAACACTGAAACCTTTGTTTATGTCTGATCAGCTTAGCACATATTTAGGTGTAGATACTTTAATAAGAAATTAAAATGGAAATATAGAAAGCACATCACAAAACCATCTTTCCTTTTTTTCTCCTCTGCTCACGGTATAGGCAGCCGAGAGGGATTTCTGCTCCCACAGCCAGACCTAAGCGTGTGCAGAATTTGGAATGTACATTTCCTGTGCTAACATTGTAACTATCTTCTGAAGACAAATTCTCCTGCGAACAGTATCACAACATGGAGCTCAGGCAGACTACAGAGTGTGTTTTGAAAGTTCCTGAGGGTAGAAGTGGGTGGACTGTAGTAATGCACTCCTGCACAACCATGAGTACACCTGCTCCACAAATTCTTTCTGACAGCAGTGCTGCTCTGAAGGAGAAGTGTGGACCTGAAGATTCAATCTCAGCTGCAACACTGATGCCAGCGATAGCTCAAGGCAACTCGGATAAACAGTTTTTTCTCTGTTCGAGAGCCATAAGATCAAATACTCATATGCTAAAGGAATATTCATCTGCTTAGTTTTAGTAGATCTATCTGAAGATTTAGGGACTCAGTCCACAGATATGCCTAGTTTGCATTATAGGCATCTTGATAGACATGGTCTTTCAGCAGCCCCATGGCCACCAGATACACTGCCCTGACTTTCATCAAAGCTTTAGGTTCCTTTGCTCTCAGGTACTGCTGTGCCAGGGGGTACAGGGGAGCTCCACTCTCTATTCAGTGCTATTTTCTGTCTCTGAACAGATGCTTATCTTAGATCTTAGCCCAGCTCCTATTTTCCTCATCAACAGCATTTGTTGCCCAAGTGTTGAGTCAGAAGTCTGAGGCAAACAGCAGACTAGGCTGGCCTTCCATGCATAGAATTTGCTTCCCAAAGAGGCTAACATCTCTTTCTCAATTCTAAATATGGAAGCTAGCTGAAAAGTAGTGGTTTAATGACCTATTTCAAGGTCATGCACTTGGTTACCTGTGTACCTAAGCACGCAAGGTGTCCCCGATGCCTTCAGTGGAAGTCCCTCATGCAGTTAAAACTATACACGTGAATTAATTGGGATCTGACAAGCTCATTTGTAATTATGCTTTTCCTAGTAGGAAGATAATATCATACAGCCAGTTACTGCCAAGCTTTTAAAATAAGGGAATGGCATTTTTATTCTGCTAACACAAGTACGCAAAACACAACTGGAATTTGATGCATTTACCCCAACACAGAACCTGCTGCATAGTGTCAGTTATTGATTATAGGGCATAACGACAATAATAATGTCCTCATGGTTAGTCATTTCTGTAATTAACAATTAGCTTGTCAATGTACAAACTGCTCTTAGCTTTTCCTACAGCTGACAGCTAAAAAATCCTGGTCATTAGCAACACTGAACATCTGAATTCTTTGGGATTCTGCCCAGCCTGATGTAGATTACTCATCTGTGATACTCCACTGCAGTCATGTTGTACAGTGAATTTTCTGCTGAATACTGCATGTGTGAATGCTTCCAAAAATAGATACAGAGCTTACTGATATAACTGCTCTATTCAGTGAAGTTACTCAGGAATGTTTTGCAAGTTAGGGCTTAAATGAAAGATACATGAAACAATGAAAAAAATTTCCAACAAGTCCATCTCCACTATGGCCTTTTTTTTTTTACTGTTTTTATTTTGGTATAATATATATCATTCCAATATGGAAGAAAGCCATTTCTCTTGGAAAAGGAAAAAAATCAATCATGATACTGTCCAATATGTGCATTATAGTGCAGAAAGATTAATACTTATGCATTTCTTTTCCCCAAGATCTGTAGGGAACAAAACTCACAAAAACTCGATGGAATGCATTCATCTGGAGAGAACGAGCACAAAATCCTGTTGCATTTCTGAATGAAGGAATTTGGTTTTTAGAAGAATATGCTGGATGTAAGAGTTGTTCATTGCCTTTCACACAGGGGTGAATTTCATACAGGTGTCTGTCCTAATCAGAAAACAGAAGCTGCTCCTGTTAATATGAGAACCTGGCTTAATGAATTTAGTAGGTGTGGGACTGTAATCCTGTTTGCTGTGTTCATTTTTCCTACTGAAAGCTTCTCCAAACAAGTTTTCATCTCCCAAGTTTCCAATGAGCTGCTGTGGATCACCAGAGATATATTCTGAGAATGTCCCTTCAGTGCATATGGATGGTTTCACTAAGCATCCCTGTCCCCTGAGACAGGAGTGTCTCTATTGAATTCACAATCCATGGTTTTAAATGAATTGTTTAGTTTTATGTCAAAACAATCAAGAGCATTTTATAGGGAAAAATGAATCCTAGGAGTCAAACAAAACTCATTATTTATCGCAAGGGATGCCAACATTTTTACCACATGATTACATCTATTTTGGAAAGGCAAAGTAGATGGAACAGTAATTGATGTCTGCCTCCCAGAGCAATTCTAAAACATCCTAAAACTAATCACACCAGTCATTAAAGAAGTGACAGCATTAAGGAAATCAATATCAAACCATTGAACAGCTTCTATGAGAAATCTTTCCACACTTTTGGCAGGTATTATGAACAAAGCAAAATAAGGGAACCAATAGTCTTTGTTTTCATCTGCTTGAATGTTTGGCTGTTTTCAGCAGAATGTGTTAATGAACATTGGAGAGGTACACATTAACATATTTGATAGAAGGTAAAATGCAATGAGGGGATTTAATCAAAGCAATGAAGGAGTCTAATTAATGCAATCAGCATTAGGTCGTGCAAATATTTTCATTGAATGCCATCTTGTAAAGCCAGTGACGTGCAGGATATTTGCTACTTAATTTTATACTGACATCTCTCCATGCTAGGATCAACAGACATAGCTGGGTAAAAAAGGCTACATTCATAGCCGTCTTTTCAGAATCTTTTAAACATAGGAAGACAAATTAAGTTCTACAAAAATCTGAAAATGACGTCTGTTGATAATTATGGTACATCAATATTTAATTTTTCCTATCATTTTTAACTTGATTTTAGTTTGCTTTTAAGTTGTTTTAAAAATATTATAGATTATTTTAAAGTATTAACTTATTTGTTTATTTTATAGCTCTGTATGTTATAGCCTGTCATTTATAGAAGAGTCTTTCCCACAGTATTTAAAAAAGCAACCTGCCCTAGCAATAGCTTGCCCCTAGAAAACATTAATTAACAGGATGGTTTTTATAAATAAAAATATTTAGAAGCAGAAGATTTGTGTTCCTAGATTCCGTAAGCACCACTTTCTGAAATGATGGCATAAATTACAACTAAATTGAATTGAAGCATTTGACTATTAAATAAAATAGTTAAGTTGGGCTAAATATCTGTTCTTCCTTTGTAATACAAGGATTGCAAGGTAGTATCTATCCCATTTCATAAAAAAAATAGTTTTGGGTATACCTTAAATCCTTTTCTGGGTAGCAAGTTTATTTTTAATTACCAAGAACTCAGTCCTACAGGATACCAAGCACTTTTATTGCCTCTGGCTTCTGCAAATACAGAAAGACCTGGATGCTCTGTAGGAACCCCTGGAAAACACAGCTGTGAAAGCACATTGCAATTGCTTCAAAAGTGCCCATAGTTGTCCACAGTGTCCTGAGGCAATGAGAACAACTCTTGCAAAAATTCAATGAAGGTGAGAGCACGCATTTTTAGTTTATTTTGTGACAGCTGTGACTTGAAGAGTTCAAAGACAAGCTGGGATTTGTCACTAGACCCTTTCAAGAACAGGTTTAACCCACTCTTATATGAGCACCTGATAATTCTTATAGGTTTATCACACTATTATAAGAAGATTCAAAAACTCATAATCTTTTTAAAGATTTATTTTAAAGCATTTCTTTTTTTTAATGAACTCAGAAAAAAAATTTTTTATTTTTCTTAGCAAATATTGCAAGAAAAAAAATTCACTTCTAGACTAAAAAAGAAAATTGTTGGACTAAAATTTTAAGTTTTTTTTTTTTTTTAGTTTGACATCATTAATCCTAAATACTGACAAAAAAAAAATCTTGAAATAAAAATTTAAACTATTTATTTTTTATATATAAAAATTAAACTTGGCATTTTCATTTTGGCTTTTTTTTTTACTGATAATATTCTTTGAATTCAGTTGCACATTTCAGTCATCTGGGATCACAGCATTTTTTCATAGCTATACATTTCAGTCATTTGGCATTCACTTCAGTTACTGGTGTGGCTGCAATTCACAGAGATTTAGCTAAGTTAAACAAGATGACTTTAGTAGCTCTGTCAGCATAGTCTGTAGCAGCAGATAATTCTGCGTGTGGTGCAAGACCCACTCAAAATATGGAGTACTTGGCAGGGAGCCCCACAGCTGAGCTCCAGCCATTCCTCTGCTTCTTCAGTGCTAATAAAACCTGAGAAATGAGGTTTGCACACATATATTTTCTGCAATCACAGTCACTACAGATTACGGTGCAGTCACTATGTATGTACACTTAGTCTTGGTAGCTGAGTTTAATAATTTATATACCTCTTTCTGTATTTACATTTATTTTGATTCAGCTGGTAGGTTTTTAGTAGCTTAATAACTTAGTAAATGTCCCCATGTGCTGAGCATCTCTATTCTATATCACATCCCACTCCTTCACAAGATGGCTTCAATGACCAGTCCCACTCACCATTGTAGTTTCTGCTATTGACCCAAAGCTGTTGATAAATATGTTGCAGGTAACATTTACAGGAGGACCTGCAAGTTGAACAATAAATAGAAAAATTGACAGGTTGTGTTCATGACATATATTAAGTACTGTTGTTCTCTTGCCAATGGCATCATAGCACTTACCATTGTGGTTTCTGTGACCGATCCAAAACTGTTGATAAAAATATTGCAAGTAACGTTTACTGGAGGACCTGTGGAATGCAATAAAAATGTTGCAATATACGTTGAAACAAAAGTACAGATTCCTCAGCCTCCGTACAATCTGTTACAGATGTGGCTGAAAACAAGTAGAGAGTGAGTTTTCCCAAACAGATCATGTAAACACTGATCAACAGAAAAACATTATCAACACTAATTTAATTAACCTATTTTCATTGGACGTTGTTATATAAATATACAGAACTAAATCCTTGCATTTAGGGATTTATGGGAAGAGTTGAGTGAGGGTGTGAGGAGAACAGCTTTTTCTTTGTTTATGGTGCCAGCGCAGAATATGCTTCAGCGTTGCCACCACCCCTCTCTCCCTTCCTTCTCAGACTTAAAACTAAAAGTTTCTCTCTCCACACCTACTCCACTCTGTACGCAAAGTCTTGCCATGGAAATTCCCAGCAAGAGCCACTTTTCACAGACTCATGTCCAGTGAAAATAGACTTAGACAAGCAGCTGTTTATGAACCTTGTCTGAAGTTGTCCACCTTGCCATAAACAAGTATTTTAGGAATGTCTGTTCTGGCTTGACATAGCTTTTTTCAACAGCTGTCTGTCATCTCTTCCCTCCCACCTCTTTTCCAGCTATTCAGCAGTCACTGACGTGTAGCAGAATGATAGGGGACTTAATTAGTCATCTATTAGCCTCCTAGCTTTGTAGGCATGATGAAATAAATAAGGGTTCTCAACTGAATCAAAAAGGATTAAAGTGTTATTTATGCACATGGATAAGATCCCTCATGAACATTCTCTTCTCCAAGCTGACCACCATCAGCAACCTCAGTCTGTTTGACATATCGCCCAGTCATTTAATTACATTTGTGATCCTTCACTGGGCCCCTACCAGTATGTCCATGTCACTCCAGTACTGTGGAGCCTAGAGCTGGACCCATCACTCCAGATGTCTCTCACCAGTGCTGAGCAAAGCAAAGGTTCCCCTCCCTCAACCTGCTTGCAATGCTCTGTCTAATGTAACCCAGGAGACTATTTGTCCTCTTCGCTGCACGGACACATTGCTGGTTCATGTTCAGCTTAGTGTCCTCCAGCAGCCCCATGACCTTTCCTGAAAAGCTACATTCTAGCTGATCATCTCCCACATTGTTCCTCCACAGGTGCAAGACTGCATTTTCCCTTGCTAAATATAGCAAGGTTCCTGCTGGTCTTATTCTGCAGCCTATCTGGTCCGTCTCCATGGCAGCAGAACCCTCTAGGCCATCAACCATTCCTTGCAAACTTGTATCCCTTGCAAACTTGTTGAGGGTGCACTCTGTCCCATCATCCAGGTAATTAATGAAGATGTTAAACAGTATTGGCCCAATGTTGAACCCTCCAGTACACCAGTAGTGACTGGCTGGATTTTGTGTTGCTGATCAGAACCCTTTGAGCATATCCGTCCAGGTGACTTGCCATGTACTTCACTGTCCATTTAGTTAGCTTGTCTATTCCAGTAGTTTATCTATGACAATATTGTGAAAGACAGTAAAAAAAGCCTCGCTGAAGCTGAGATAAGCAACATCCACTGTTCTCCTGTCATCCATGGAGCCAGTGAAGTCATTGTAGAAGGCTATTAGTGTGGTCAGGAATGACTTCCCCTTTCTAAACCTGTGCTGACTAACCCCAATCATTGTTTGCTCCAGTCTTTGGCCAGCCTGTAGTTCCTCGATCCTCCTCCTTGTCCTTCTTAAACACAGGAATATTTTTTTTTCCCATTATGAGAAATGTCTTCCACTCACCATGACCTTTCAAAGATAATTAAGAATAGCCTTACAATACAACTAGCCAGATCCCTCTGCACTTGTGGGTGCTTCTCTTGTGGTCCCATGAACTTGTCTGTGTCCAGTTTGCCTAAATGCTCTGTAGCCTGATTCATCTCCACTGAGTTTTCCTTGATCTAGACTATTCTACAGGTCTCAGAGGCATAGGATTTCCGAAGACCAGTCTCATCAGTAAAGACTGAGGTGAAGGAGGCAGTGAGTGCCATGGCATTTTCCCATGCTCTTTGTAAACTTTTCTTTAATCTCATGATGTTGCCTTGTGAAAGCCACCAGGTGTAAGCACCATAGATTTCAATTCCTCAGTGCCAGCAGAACCTAATATGTTACCTATGTTAGGAAAATATGTTTACCTATGTTATTAAACACTTCACCATGCCACAGACTGCAGTTCAGATATACACTAAGTAGGAACATGCTAGAGCACTGTGTCTTACAGCAAAGCAGTATCTCCCTCCATCGCCTCCTGCTGGTAGGTGTGCAATAGTATAAGAACTCAGTAAACTCAGTTTAAAAAAAAAGAGATCATGTTTGTGACCACCTCAGGAACATGAATATACATAAGTCTGTGAGACCCCAGGAGATGCAGCCCAGAGTCCTGAAGGAATGGGCTGATGTAGTCGTCAAGCCACTCTCCATGATATTTGAAAAGTCATGGCAGTCAGGTCAAGTCCCAGGTGGCTGGAAAAGGGAAGCATTGCACACAGTTTTAAAAAGGGTAGGAAGGAGGATCCTAAACACTACTGACTTGTAAGCCTCACTTCTGTGCCTCGGAAGATCATGGAACTGATCCTCCTAGAAGCTATACTAAGGCAAATGAAAGACAGCTAGGTGATTTGAGACAGCAAACACAGGTTCACCAAGGGCAAGTCCTGTCTGACCAACCTAGTGGCCATCTATGGTGGAGTGACTACATCAGTGGACAAGGTAAGAACTACAAATGTCATCTATCTGGAATTCTGTAAAGCCTTTGACATGATCCACCACAACGTCCTTCTTTCTAAACTGGAGATATATGGGCTTGATGAGTGGACTGTTCAGTGGATGAGTGTCCTGGGTTTGGCTAGGATAGGATTAATGTTCACAAGGAGGGGGGAGAGGCTGAAGTGGGGAGAGGCTGCAACGAGGATAAACACCCAAACCAGCCAATGGGATATTCGATAGCCTACTGACATCATGCCTACTATATAAGGGGATGCCTGCCCTGGAGAAACGGCACCTGTTTTCAGCATGTGGCTTCAGCATGTGTCTAGAGCTTCTTGGGTACAAGTAGGGTCTCACAGTTTATACCACTTGTTTTATTTATTATTTCATTAGTAATATCATTATTACTGTTGCTTCTTCTCTCTTTGCAGTGTTCTATTAAACTGTACTTATCTCAACACACTGGGCTTTGTCTCTTTCTCCTCATTCTCCCCCCATAACACGGGCTGGGGGTGGGGGGGTCAGTGGGAGGAAGAAGTAGGCAAGTAGCTGCATTTAGTTGCCGGATGAGGTTGAACCATGACAATGGCTGGATGATTGCATCCAGAAGCTATTGGTCAACAGCTTGATGTTCGGATGGAAATCAGTGACAAGTGGTATGCCTCAGGGGTCCATACTGGGACCAGTGCTGTTTAATATCTTCACCAATGACATAAACAGAGGGATCCATTGGACCCCCAGCAAGTTTGCAGATGACAGCAAGCCAAGTGTTGTAGTTGACATGCCTGAGGGACAGGATGCCATCCAGTGGGATCTGGACAAGCTCATGAAGTGGGCCCCTGTGAACCTCATAAGGTTCAACAAGGCCAAGCGCAAGGTCCAGCACCTAATAATTTATATTTGTGTATAAACGTTAAAAGAATAATGCAAGATTTCAACCAAATGAGAACTGAAGACACTTATCAGAGGATCCTAAAAACTAACATTTGATCATATAACTTACAGATTGCAAGCTAAAAGTCCAAATTTCTCTTAAAGTCAAACTCCTAGTGATGGGGTTTCTAAATGTACATAGGAAACACAAGCCAAATGAAGTAGACAAGAAAAAGAAAGATAACTAACTGAGCACTGAAGTTTACAATGGTTTTATTATTTTTCAATTCTTTTTTTATTGCTCTTTTTTTTGTTTTCTACTGTAGATATTATTGCACTGGGAAAAGGGTGTATAGGTGTTATACACCTTAAGGAAGAAGTGCTCTTTAAAGAGGGCACACAACATCACTTTTTGCTCTGAAACATTTCACGGTTCATTCTAGATTTTTCTTACCTGATTGTTCATTTAAAATGAACATAACAAACTTCGGTTAAGTATAGCCAGAATTTGATAACATAACCTAAAACTCTTCAAAGAAAATGGAAACATTTGATTTGGCTTTACTGCCTAAAATCTAAAATGAGTTGATATTACCTCCAAAAAATTAAGCAAAGTATATTTTATAATGAAATCCCTTTTTTCCCCTTAGTTTTCCTTATGTCAGCTCGGATGCAAAAATGTAATAGTCCAAGTTCCTTTTGGACACATTTGAGATAATCAATGATTTTCAAGTCATAAGGAAAATGTCTGTGTCTTGAAAGGTACCAAGAAGAAAAACAAAACAAAACAAAAAACAAACAAACAAACAAAAAAAAAACCACACACACAAAAAAAAAAAGAAAAAAAAAATCAAGTAGCTAATGTTCAAATCCACCAGAAAGCAGATATTTGATATTCTGAGAAATGACTAAGACATCACTTCTGTTGCCTGAAGTTCCCCTTCCCCCTGTTTCCCCAGAGGGACTGCAGGACTCTGCAATGTGCTGCCTTATTGAAAAGCCCTAACATCATAATGTGTCACACACCTTCTGTGACTTCAGGGCACTTAGCATTTGCAGAAAATCCTAAGCACTCATCTGCTCACCTTACCCACAGAAACCCATATATACCAAATACCACCCCAAATTTGCTGTGGCATATTGCCTCATAGCTCCTGTACCCTGCTGAAATCTGGCTAGAGGGTGAATCCTTTCCTTGTCAGCTGCCAGAGGGGGTGAATCCATCCCAACACAGAGGGTAGTCCTCACGTTGAGTGATGGGTGTGGAAAGATGTATGCTGAGCCCTGTCCAGTTGCCAACTGCAGCTTTTGCTGCATATTCTCCAGTATTGATAACACACAGCCCCAAGGCTTCCTTCATTTGGTAGGTTCTTGAGATTTACTTGCCCTCTTGTCCTTGAGAACATCCTAACTGCA